TCTGCCCCTCCCCTTCCCTTCCACACTCTCTAAAAAAAACCAATGGAAAAATACCCTTGGGTGAGGATTTACAACAACAACAACAATTAGATCTTTATAAGATGAAAGGATATATAGGGGAACAGAGAAAACACAAGATTGGATATGGGGATTCATTATACTATTTTCCTATTCTTGTATATATTTAAATTTTTTCGCAATAAAAGGTTTTAAAAAGTAATGTTGGCCCTAACCGGTTTGGCTCAGTGGATAGAGCGTCGGCCTGTGGACTCAAGGGTCCCAGGTTCGATTCCAGTCAAGGGCATGTACCTTGGCTGTGGGCACATTCCCAGTAAGGGGCATGCAGGAGGCAGTTGATCGATGTTTCTCGCTCATCGATGTTTCTAACTATCTATCCCTCTCCCTTCCTCTCTGTAAAAAATCAATAAAATATATTTTTAAAAAAGTAATGCTGAAAAATAGGAACTAAAACTCCATTTTAAATGACCCAAACTTCAGACCATAGTTTCATAAGCACTATTTGTGAGCATGTAATCTTTATTCAAAAAATATCTGCATGAATATGTGCTAGAGACTATGATATGCACACAAAAAATTAAACAAGGGAAAAAAGCGACACTAGACACCATCCTAAATGCCTCAAGTTGTTCAAACTAGCTGGGTATGAGCTTACTAGACCAGTGGTTGCCAACCTTTAGGACCTCACAGACCACCAGTTGGCGACCACTGTACTAGATCACTAATAATGTGGTAAGTGCTATGAGAAAAAGTGCTAGAGAGGACAAAAAAGGGGTTAATTGTGCTCATGAAAAAAAATCTAGGTCCTAGTAGTTTTCCTACAGAGAGAATGACATTTGAAGACTGGATTTTTCAGCCAGTGGATGGAAAATGGAGAGCGTTCAAGTATTCAATGCAGAAAGAAGTTGCACTGAGTTAAAACAAAAGCCCAGAGAGAACCTGGCTTGTGCTGAGAATTCCAAGTAGCCTGCAGTGTCCCCTGTGCTGAGGATTAGGGCAGAGCAGTGGCAGGCTGGTAAGGAACTTCAGGTCATAAAGGCCCTTGTACGACAGACTGAGTAATCTGAACATAGTCAGGAGTTGATGAAAGTTTTAAAGCACAGACGTGGTACAGTCATATTTTATCTGCATTTTAGAAATGACATTCTATTGGTAGGATGAATGACAGCCTGAATAATAAAGGGCCAGGTACAAAGACTACTCACTAAAAAGTGGGGCCCAGGCTAAAGAAATGGCAGTAGAAATTGAAGGGGGGGAGGGGTAAGGATTTCAGAAGTGCCACTGACTGGATTTAGAGACTGGTTTGTGAGACTCAAAAGTGCACTCAAGGTTTGGAGGAACAATGTTTTTTCTCTAGAGCATTAACTCAGGGTAAACAGTGATACTATTAAGCAACGCAAGGACACAGGTAGAAAAACCAAAGACAATAAGTCCAGTTTTAAACGCACTGAATTTGAAAAGCTACTACCACTCTACCCACAAGGTAATTTTAGAACAGGAGTCTGTCCTCAGGAGGGGAGGCTGCTACAGGGAGAAGTCTGGGAGCATCGCGTGTGTGCGACGTAGGAAGCAGAAGAGACTTCCCAGAAAGAGGTTCCAGGCTAAACAAGACCCTGGAGCCCAGGTTAGCTCTGATCAGACCTTCAATGCACAAACCTCCAGCACCTGGTTTTTGTAACGGACTTTGTTTTCATTTCTTTGCTATTATTTAAAATATTCTTCATTTTTAAGAAATATGTAGTACCTAGAAACACTGCTCATCTTCTTTTTCCTCTTTACAAATCTAGTGAGGTGGGCGAAATAATGCCCAGAGCTAGGCTGCACTGCGGTCTAAGTCAAGGCAAGACTTCCAGACCCAACCCATGAGTGAAGCAGAAACCGAGCCGCCCACACAGCCCCCCCAGGCTGCCTGCTGTGTATCCGAGGCCTCAGATATGCCGACAAGAGAGAACGAATATATCACGTTACTTAAAATATTTCACAAAAGTCGATAAACAGCATCCCAAGTGACTCACCAGGCCTTTGATCCCGTTCCAGTGCACAAATTGAGCCCTGAACTCTTCTGTTTTTCCCAGGGACCATCATCAATTGAAATTTCATAGTAGGAAGCCCTATGAATTAAGAATATAAAACTGGATTTGCTGAACTGGAGGCTCACAGTAAATAACACATCTTTTTCAGAACTGATGAAATCTATGTAGGCCAGCCTGACTTAGTAGGCACACACATCATGATGCTAATGCTCATATTAAGTGAAAAAGTTAAAAAAAAATCTGCATGTCTACGTCCCTCTCTGATCTATGTGCTCCTTTCTATCAATACTTCACATTCCAAAGAGGGCATCTTCTAAGGTTTTTACCTGGCATTGCTGCTGCTGCTGCTGCTTTTACGGAGTCAAAAACACACAGAGCCTCATTTCAGAATTCAAAAAGAAAAACCATTCTCTGCTGAGTGTCTTTCTTGGTGGCTAATCCTTGATATACTTAAGTCTATTTCTAATCCTTCGAGTTACCAGGAGTTTCTGCTACGTTTCTGTGGAGTTACATACTATTGTGCCTTTTGAGTTGATAGTAAGCAAACAAGTTCAAAAGAAAATTCTCAACCAGCACTGAACTACTGAGCAGAACTAGAGATTTGTATTTCTTACAGTTATTTCATCGAATGGGTTTTCTGGGTACTAGCAAAAATGATACTATTCTTTAACTGCATGAAAGTATAAGTGATTTGCAACTATTCAAAGAACTTTTGAAACATGTAAAAGTCTATTTTGTAAACTATAACTTAAAATAATGTTGTCACTAATCAACACTGGATTATTTTTCTCTAGCAAATAAAGTTTAAAAAAACGCTTAATAAAATATAGCTTTTCAAAATTAATTATTAGACATACTTGCAAACACTAACACTCAAGGGATAATTTAACTCTTGCTCTAACCCTTTTAATCTCTCCGACCAAGCTTTGGATCTGTGAAGGTTTTATATGATACAACTCCTTTTCATTTTTTCTCAGAACTCAGCATTCTTCATAACAGTAAAAGATAGCACACTTAATATTCACATTTAATCTACTTCATTGCTTTATTATATCTTCTTAGAAAATTAGGGATTTTAGTCTCATTAGGAGCTCGTTATGTACAGACAAGCCAGCCAAATCACTGGAATGGTTGCTACTATGCCAGAATCACATGGAAACAAGAGATTAGAGGTGAGTGGGGAGAAAAGTGATAGTCAGGTAAGAGATAATGAGCAAATTTAGTGTCATTCTTTCATACAGGTTTATCAAGATTAGTCAACTCATAGAATTTTTGTTTCAGGGAATTATTTTTTTAAAGCAGCAATAAAACTCACAGTCCCTTTAGAGTGGGTATACTTCTTCTTAAACTGTCCACTGCTACAGCCCAAGAATATGACATTCTAGGTTAGAACAAATAGGAGAAAAGAAAAAAATGGGCTTTTAAAATGTTCTTAAATTTAAGAACATTATAAGTGAGGCAGGAATAATACTGCTGCACTTCATATTTTTCAAGCAAGGCACTTAAGTTCTCAGGGCACAGTGAAGCCTAACACAGGATCTGGAATCCGTTCTGATGCTGACTAGTTATATGACCTTGGACAAGTTCCATGAACTCTCCAAATCTTTATCTCAATTTTTCCCCTGGTAAATACAACTCCCTTTCTCGCAGGGTTGCTATGAGCATTAAATGTGATACAGGCACAAGATCCAAGTACCTGACACATCGCAGGCGTTTAATAAGTGGTCGTCACTTCCTTTCTGCCTGAGGGTCTATATCATAGCATCTTTCCAAGTAACCTCTAATACCGTCAACAGGGAAACCTCTTCCAATAGCATCCAAAGACAACCCCTGCTGTCCTTATCTTAGTAAAGACGTAAGGTGAGGCATCAAAGAGCACAAAAAGCAGCAGCGTCAGACATTATTTAGAGATAAACCAACCAAATCACTACCGCCACAGGAAGTACAAGCATTCAACCAAAACCTCCTACTGAGACTTCACTGAATGCCCAAAGTCTATCCATTTATCCCAGTTTCCCTCCTTTCATACGTTATTTGGTTTTTAGTAAGTATAAATTATAAAGCAACGCTAGCAGAAGCTCTCAGAAGTTACAACCTTTAAAATATACAAACATAATAATATAAGCCATTAAATGGCTTCCCTAGAGTAAAAGCATAAACACTCAAACCATTTTTACCTTTGTCATCTATTCATTTTCATAGACTTTCTCCAATCTCATTTAAAGTTGTGGTTCTCTTATGTCTTTAGCAATAATACCAGATTATATCACTAATTAGTTACATTTTCTTCCATCTCCCTCTTACTGCATAAATGTACCCATTATTCATTTCCATACTGCTTCATATTTGATACACAAAAGAAAAAAACTTTACATACAGTATGTCTATGTTAAAATAAATATTTTTACACTTTATTAAGTTTTTTAAAGAATATATCTTTTATTACTTTGAAGAATTTTACTTTTAATAATTTTTTAAGTTATGCATTTTACCACCACCCTCCAAAAAATTAAGATACCATGACCTTTATCTTATTCATCTTTATATTCCTAGTGGGTCTCATAAAACACACAGCAATGCATAATATATTTTTGTTGAATAAATTTAAATTTACATTAATCCAAATAATTACAACTACTCAGAACAATTGTTCAAGTCATTCCTGTTGAATCAGGCTCTGTTCTTTCCAGTACTACCTACGTGAAATCACTGGCTAAAACATAGGTCGCTTTTTGAATTAAGACAAATTTACATATACAAAAAGGAGAACGCATGTTCTAAAGCACTACCAAGAGCTAAATTAATTTCATATTATAGCAATCATTTCATAACTAGTAACTAATGACATTTTATAACTGATAACGAACACAAAGTTTTGCAAAAAAACTCGACTGACAATTTAAGCGTAAATTATATTCAACACCCACAAAACAGATTTCATCAATAATAAAACTCTTAATAAAGAACTTTATTAATCTTAATTTTTTCCTAATAATGGTTACAAATCTTAACCTGGCAATATACTTGCCTTATGATGTTGAACTAAGAAGGACGCAATTATCACTTACGTAGTATTCCTGACAAAAATGTTTAGGCTGAATGTAATCATGCAGAGGAAAAAAAAAATCACACAAATCTAAAATAAGGGCTATTCTGCAAACCAACCGGCTTAGGCCATTCAAATATTAATATCATGAATGACAAACAGGAGTGAGGCTAAGGACCTGTTCTTAATTAATTCGAAAGGGCCATGACAGCCACATGCAAGGCGAGATCCTTAATTGGATCCTGGATAAAAACAAGCAAACAAACAAATCAGCTTTAAAGAACATCATTAAGACAAGTAGGTAAGTTTTAATAAAAGTTTTATATCAATTGCCAATGTATGCCTCGTAAGTATACCATTCTCTTAAGCATGCATAGATGATAAATATAAATGCACCTGTATGATGGATGAAAGGTTCTGGGAAATACTGCAGTCAAGAACCTGAAAAACTTTGTTTAGCCTAGGGCAGTGGTCGGCAAACTGCGGCTCGTGAGCCACATGCGGCTCTTTGGCCCTTTGAGTGTGGCCACAAAGTTTCAATCGCACTGTATGTGCGCGCCCGAATGTGGTATTTTGTGGAAGAGCCACACTCAAGGGGCCGCAGTTTGCCGACCACTGGCCTAGGGTTTCACAAACTTTTTGGGTCATAGAACCTTCTTTCTCTTTAATATGTATTAACATGTATGAAGGTTTCAGAAATATTTCATTAAATAATTCATTTCTGTTACTTAGACAGTATTAATTATTCACAAATCTTAGGTTGTAGAAATTTAATAAATATGTGAAAAATACTAACACGTTCAATTCCAAATTCAAGCTCACAGGTTTAAATGTACCTGGATGACAGGCTCTCCCCAATAAAGACTTCATTTAGTGCTCTCACTGGCAAAAGCTGGGGTCCTGAAGCCTCAGGCCCTGCAGGTAATGAAGAAACAAATCCAAGACAGCTCTTAAATTTTAGCAATGTTATGACATAAGTTTTATAAAATTAAAATATTCATATTTTGTTGTAATAGAATCTATGCTTTAACAGTATTAACATATACAGTAACTCAAAGTATTCATAATATAAACCTCAAATTCATCTTACATTACAGCTGCAATGAACTTTCCTTACTCTCCAAAATAAACCTTAATTCTTCTTGAAACAATTTCTCAAGAGTGGTTAAAATATACTTATCCATCTCACAAGATTCTTATTGTCCCACTTAACTAGGTTTTACTCTGGAAACTTAAGAGGTGAAATGACCAAATACCTCCAAAGGAGAGGCATTTTGGATTTAAGCAGCACATTACATGCCTGGCTCACGTTGGAAACCAAATCAGTTGGTAGAAATCAGACCTGTTTTTAAGTTTTTGTTTTTCTTGTTTATTCATTTGTTGCTTTCAGTTTTATATCCCACATGTGAGTGAAATTATATGGCTCTTAACTTTTTCTGTCTTATTTTAGGGTCAAATATATGGTGATGAAGGTGATTTGATTTTAGGTGATGGGCACACAATGCAATATACAGATTATGTATCTTAGAAATGTACACCTGAAACCTAAATAATCTTATTGACCAATGTCACCCCAATAAATTTATCTTAAAAAATGGGCTCAATACCAACTAACACTTTTCTATCCAAAAGAGTGGATTAAAATGTGTATTTTTAAATATAGAATTTTTATACAGTAGTAGAGACAGGGACTGCTACACAGTGCAATTTTCTCACACTGCCATACTGGCAGACTATGTTTTCAGGCCGACTCACACTGGATATACACATGGGACTAGCAACAGCCTATGGAATAGGAGCAAAAAAAGTACAAAGGCCTGCTCCTAAAACTTCCCTTAAGGCTCTCCACGCTTTCCCCCCAAGTTCCTCTACCCATGATCCAATAAAAGACTTAGAGGCCCTAGGTCAGTGGTTCTCAGCCTTCCTAATGCCGCGACCCTTTAATACAGTTCCTCATGTTGTGGTGATCCCCAATTTCATTGTTACAAATTGAACATAATTAAAGCATAGTGATTAATCACAAAAACAATTTGTAATTATATATGTGTTTTCCGATGGTCTTAGGCGACCCCTGTGAAAGGGTCGTTCGACCCTCAAAGGGGTCGCAACCCACAGGTTGAGAACCACTGCCCTAGATGATAGGAGCCACTGTTTGGAAGTTGCTTGAACACACCTTGGACTGTGAGTGAGAGGAGCTAGAATTAAACCTTCATTAAGTGAAGCCACTGAAATTCTGGGATTGTTTAGCATTTCCATTCACTTATCCAAATTAATAAAAGCAGCCTTGAAAGTAAGAAAGTTGCTAGGTTTACATGATAAAAAATGTTTAAAAAATAATAAACTAACTCCATGTTCCTTTGAAGGTATATAGGTAACAAGAATGAATTCTTCATTAATTTTTACACAAATACAATCTAGCTAAGGGCAGATTATACTACATACAATGAAAATTTCTGTTTAAAGTTACATCAGACCTTTTTAAACTGAAAAGTCAAAAAACCTATTTTTTTCCCCCTCTGTAATCTTTTGTTCTAAATTAGAAAGCTAAATAAAGGATCAACATGGTGGTATATTTATAATCACAAATTTACACCTATATTCAAAAATCCCAAGTGGCAGCTTACTAGGAAATGTTTCCTGCCAACATGAAAAGAATTTAAATAGGAAATAGGAGCTATACCTTGAACTCTTTCTCAATTTTGTCTCAGAAAATAAAGCTATCAAAAATCTCCAGTCCTAGCCAAAACCGGTTTGGCTCAGTGGATAGAGCGTCGGCCTGCGGACTGAAAGGTCCCAGGTTCGATTCCGGTCAAGGGCATGTACCTGGGTTGCAGGCACATCCCCAGTAGGAGGTGTGCAGGAGGCAGCTGATCGATGTCTCTCTCTCATCGATGTTTCTAACTCTCTATCTCTCTCCCTTTCTCTCTGTAAAAAAATCAATAAAATATATTTAAAAAAAAATCTCCAGTCCTAGCTGGTTTGGCTCAGTGGATAGAGCGTCGGCCTACAGACTGAAAGGTCCTGGGTTTGATTCCGGTCAAGGGCACATGCCCGGGTTGCGGGCTCGATCTCCAGTAAGGTGTGTGTAGGAGGCATGAGGTTTCTCTCTCTCCCCCTTCCTCTCTGAAATCAATAAAAATATATTTAAAAATAAATACATAAATAGAACACTCCAAACTAGTTCCCAGACATGATAAATATCACATAATTATTAATGATATCAACAATATTAATAACTACCTCAATAATTAACACAATTTCCCATATTAACATAAAAAATCTGAAACTATTCTGATTCCAAATTCTTTACAATGTAATAACCTACTCCCATCACAATCATCACCACGACCACTCTCACTCCTGCTCTGGAAACCTGCAGGAGTTTGTTTTATCCCTGCAATCTGGCATACCTTGTGGGGCCTTTTAACATAATTATTCAAGTGGTTTGTGGGTCCTTTTAATTCAAAGACTGCTGCTTACGTTTTATATGAACGCCCTGGGTACTACTCAATTTACATGTAATTTTGCTTCTCTATATAATACATTAACTTAAATTATGAGCTAAAAACAGTGAACCTGACATAGGAGTTTGAGCAATGAACCTCTGAATACCAATCTACTTCTTTCCTATAAGACTGGGTGAAAAGAGCCGAACCTAACCATCTTCTGGTGGGAGCAATAACTTCTGGTGTGGGACAAAGTAAAATTTCTAGCTAAGATTTTTAAATCTTAATGAACAGTTGCTGCAGCCTTTCAAAATCAGTAATGGGATTTTATATGCATGTAATTACTTAAAAGATTTCTAAAATCAAATGATTTTGTTTGTTTGGGGAGAGAAGGAGCATCTTTAAAACATGACATGAACACACACACAAGTTAGGAACATGCTAAGCTCTAAAGCTATAACCACCATGAAAACTCACAGAGCGGGGGTGGATAAACATTAGGTACCACAAGACAGAAACAGACACAGAAAGCAGATATGTAAAGGCAGCTTTTCCTGTTCGTGCACCATGACAGTCTTAGAGCTAAGAGAAAAGTAGGAAAATGTACCAGTAATCCACAAATAGGCTCAAAAATGAGAATTCACCTTAACTATTTATAACAAAAAGCTGCCTATCACCCTATGCTAAAATTCTCTTAGCAGCTTACACAAATATTTGAAACAAATCTGAAGGCTGGAATGCAAAATTTCCCAACATAAATGTTTTAATCAGTAACTATAACTATAGTAAATATGTTTAAATGTAACTATATGAGTATATAATTATGAAATCTTCCACAGATTAGCTTGTTTTAGTTCTACTGCTTTATTTTTCCTTTTTGACCTTTTAAAGATTAAGGCCAAGAATCTTTCCTTAAATATCATCTACCCCCTTGGACATTTTCAAACCCATCCTAGAAAACATTTCTCTTAGAAATATGCTATATTTCTTACTTCAGTGTCTAATCATAGTAAGTTTTACACCTGAAATAGTTCACTGTACTTTCGTAAGTATTGTCAGTACTTTCGTAAGTACTGAAGTAAGTTAATTATAAAGTATTACTTTTAGAAATTAGACATCAAAAGAACTATAAGTTAAATATTGACCCAAACACATCTAACCCCCAATCCACCTACTGTCATCATGAACTCTGTCGACATTGAAGGCTCTACTGTGTTGATTCAAACTCAGCTGCTGTTCGTGAAGGTCCACAGGAACGGGATTGATGCCAGTCCCTTCAAGGTATAACCTGATACGCTGCCTCCATAACCACCTGGGAAGAGTGAATGAAAAGCAAGTTATGTTAAGACAGAATAAATTAAACTAAGAATTAGACATTGTAATTGCACCAAATTAAAAATTCATTTAAAAAACCTACTTGTTCCAGGAACAAATTATACTAGAAACACCTAAAATTCACAGGTTCCTGCTAAAAGACAGATTTAGAAGTTTATTTCTTTGTTCGATCATAATGGAAATATCTATGTGTACAAAATGTCCCAAATAACTTGAATTAAAGTCAAATTCTTTATCAAGGTAGTCTGACCACTGAACAAATTCAGTGAAAGAAATATGGAAAAAAACCATCTCCATTGTTTAAGAAACACTAATCTATAAGACAGGGATACCAAGAATCTCAGCAAGGGAGGAACTCTCAGTCATTCTGGGTGGGAGAAGAGGAGGATAAAAAACATAAAATCTCAGGAGGTTTGAACACTCAGTTTTAACCAACAGTTTTTACTATCTTTCTAAGACCATGTAACAACGCTAAGAAAGTAGAGACATGGCGTATATCTCACTGAAGGAAAAAACCCTCTATTTACAATTACATACAAGCCAAGTGGCATGTGTCAGGGATTCTCTATATAGTTCTGATTGGACTAGAATAAGGTAAGTTAGATGTGTTCGTGACTCGGCTAGTATATTACGTTTTATGGCTACTGTTATAATTGTGGACTAATCAAATAGTATCTAATTCCGTTTAACAGTATTTGAATGATACACCTTTATTAAGATATTTATATAACAACAGAAAGAAATTCCTACCTGAACTCACCACGATAGAACTTCTGTAAGGCTTCTGGGAAGGAATGTGTATAGCGAACAGGAAGACACAAATGACCCTCAGACCTTCATTTGAAAAGGAGTTGGGGGTGGTGTAAAAAGAAGAAAAAAAGCTTAATTCAAAAACCAGATATGAATTTTTTAAAATTTCAACTCTATACTTAATTTGTTTTTGCCACAAAATTGTCTATTTTCAACAAAAACAAAAAATAGACATAGTTTAAATCCAGCTTTACTGTCA